CCTCATCATGGTGGTCGAGGTGTACTTGTTGATGATAGAGGTTCACCCAGCCCCTAACTCTCCTAGTTCTGTTCGACCAAGATCCATGGAGTCTACTAATCCTATGTTTGTAGAACGCACACCTCCCTCAACTCAGCAGGAATCTCCCGTAGCTATAGTAGGAGAAACAATTCCTACTACCTTCTCTACCGAGGCGACATTTGGTCAACCTACACAAGTACCTGGGTCGGTCGCAACCGAGGTTGAGTCTGGAAATATGGTTGATCAAAGGCCATGGTTACAAGCAGACAAAGGAGAGTAAGTATGTTTTAATTTAATTATAATTCTTTAATATGAAATTTCTTAATAATATCAATCCCACAATATGTTTCAACACAGGTTTATACCAAGCAAATGGTCCTCCTGCTATAATCTCTAGAATCATCAAACAAAAATTTGATGAACCAAGTCCCACTTGGAGAAAGGTTTCACTTGAGCTTCGAGATAGATGGTTTGGAGAGTTCAAGGTAATTTGAATTATAGTTACATTAAAGAATGTCATTTCATTCTTATAAATTAAATGTTTGTTGTGTATTTTATTTATGCAGAAAGAGTATATATGGGATGTGGAACAAGAGCAAGCCATAAGATTTGTTTTTTATAAGAAAGGTTCTCGAATTTTAAAAAAATCAATGAACAAAGTTAGGAATGGTAAGGATACGGGAATCTGGATACCGCCAACTGTTCGAGCATCTTTGGACTTACATTGGAGTTCTCCAGATTTCCAAAACAAGAGTGTCATTGCCAAGGCTAATCGAGCTGTTGATAAGGGTGCCTCAGCTTATTGTGGGGGTTCCATATCTACTGCAACTCACTTTGAGAAGATGGTAAGTTTATTATATTTTTATATAAGTAATTTAATACAATATATTACACTTTAGGTAATGAATTTTGTCTCATTTTAATGTGTAGACTACGGAGTTTCAACGGGAACCAACCGTTTGGGAGGTTGTTGAGAGGACAAAGAAATTAAAGACTGGACAATGAGTTAATGAAAAAACTCGTTATCTTGCTGTATGTTTAACATCTAAGTTATAGTTTATTATTCAATATATGTTTTCTTCATAATAATTATATTTCACTTCATTTTTAGGAACAATATATGCAGCGCAGAGAAGAAGTCCATCAACATAACTTGCGTGAAGGCTCATCTTCACAAGAGTCTCCTATTGTCTCTATTGATGTGATAATGAAATATACATTTCAGTTGTTGGAGGTGAAAATAAAAAAGGAAATGTGTATGGACTTGGTACATTGAGCAAAAAGTTCACTACTACATCAGGTTCTCAATCTTCTATTACTCAAACTCCAGTACTTCATCAAATTGAACAAATGCGTAAGACTATTGAAAAGTTAAATGCTGAATTGGTGGCAAAGCATAATAAGGAGAATATACTTCAAGAAGAGATGCAGGAGTTGAGGAACAACCAACGCCAACAAGATGAGCAGATGAAGCTTATTTTACAACATATTAAAATAAATAGTCATCCTACTACAAGTCAACATGATACTGACAATATACCAGAGGACTAATTTTCAATTTTATGATATTAAGACTTTGAATCTTGAGTAGTTGTTTAGAAACATTTTATTTCTATCATGACTTTGAATTGTTCTTATTATGATTTGAATAATTTGACTTTAGTTCTTAAGTTTTCATTTGTGTTATGTTTGGATCAATTAAGCAGGTACAAATTTTGCAAAATTGGATATACAAAATTTTAAACGAAAATTTTCAGATTTGGTTAGATTAGCGAACGAATTTTTGGTCGCTACAAATATATTATAATATACAATTCAAATTTAGCGACCAAAATTATTCCGTCACTATTTTTGCGACCGATTTAGCGACTGATTTAAATTATTATTTAAATAATTCAATTAATGTATTAGCGACCGATAATCGGTCGCTATTATTTTTAACTTTGTCTCCAATTTAGCGACCGATTTACTATATTAATTTCTATCGCTATTTTTGCGACTGATTTAGCGACCGATTTTAATTATTATTTAAATAATTATATTAATATATTAGCGACCGAATATATCGATCGCTATTTTTTAAACTGTACCACCGATTTAGTGACCGATTTATTATATTAATTTTGGTCGCTATTTTGGTCTCTAATGAATAAGTAACCAAATTATTTAGCGACCACCTTAGCGACCACCTTATCGGTCGCTATTTTGCGACCGAAATGTAAATCGGTCGCTAACAAATTAGCGACTTGACCTTTTACGACCAACCATTTCGGTCGCTAATTTCGATCGCTAACAGAATAGTGACCGATTTTTAGCCATTAGCGATCGATTTTTTCGGTCGCTAATAGCGTTTTTTCTTGTAGTGATTTATCGGTAAATAAATATTACCGATAAAATTTTGAGAGTAAAAAATTTATCAAAAATTAGGTTATCGGTAAATATTATTGATCGGATTTAATTAGTCCATCAGTAATTATCGACGGATAGAGTTGGAGTTTTTATAATAATTTACAAATAAATTATATTTATATAAATATATAAATACAAATATATTTATATATTTATATATTTTGATATATTTATATATAATTAAATATTTATTTTTTAAAATTATTTAATTTAATTAATTATTATAAATTAATCTAATTATGATTAAATTAAATTATTAAATAAAAAATAATTAATTTTTTAATTAGGTGAATAATTAATTTTTTAGAATATATTAAATAATTATTATATAATTTTACCGACGGATATATCCGATCGATAACTAATTGTTAATTTATTGATGGATCGGTAACTAATTATTATTTTACTGGCGGATAGATAAGACCAAATTCCACAAATGTTTATATCCATTAGTAATTTTCGTCAATAAAGATTCATTTTCGACGATTATAAACCCATCGATAAAAATCCGTCGAAAATATACAATTTTTTTTTGTAGTGTTATATATCAAATGATGATTAGATGATAAAATAAAGTGCATAGAATATTTTTTATTAACTATATTAGAATCAATTTTACCAAAATTTGTCAAATCGTAAAACTAACATTTATAGTTCACTATTTTTCAGTTTATTAATTAATATAATTTGTCATAATTTCTGTCCAAAAACAAAGCATTATCTAGAAAATTTTCTCACCTCCATCCTTCGCATTTTCCTTTCTTGTTTTTTTTTTTCAAAGTCCTTATTATTTTGGTGAATTGAAGAATATTAGTGATGTAACTTATTACCCTTTTTGAGTGTGTTCTTATTACTATGTATTACAACAGGTAATAAGAGTGCTACATTTTTGTGATGGGTTAATGCCCCCAAACTGCAGCACACCTTGATTCAGCCATGACAATGCATGAAGAAGATATTGCATTAAAATAATGATGTTTTGTGTCTCTGCAAAATTAAAATCTTGGAAGCATGTTAGTGGGAACAAAAATGTTGTTTGAAAGAGAATTAATCTATTATTGTTTATAGAGCATGCCGAGATTTGCGCATGTTAATCAAATAATGATGCACGCGCTCATGATGTACACCACAAGACAACGTCAATAACATATTAATAAAACACTTATAAAATTAATAATCTTTCTATAATTATATCAAGAAAACCCTAATTAGAATAGTTATAATTTTCACAGTTTAATATTACTCTATTTTAAGGAATAGAGTGAATAAATTTCTTAATTGTAGAGTGAATATTCTAATATCAATTCCATTATTATAATATAATTATATTTATATAATATATTAAAATAATTAAAAAAATTATATTAAAAATATAATAATATTATAATATATAAGTAATTATAATATTAATTTTATAGAATCGGATTAAAAAATAATATTAAAATTAATTTTAATTTTTATTATCGGACTAATATTAGATAATAATAAAAAAAATCTTCAACATAAAAATTTTTTTATAAATATTCCCTTGTTAAGATGTGAAGTATGTAGAGATAATGAGAAGTAATGATTGTATTATAAAAGTAATATGGAATGTATTTGTTGCCTTGTTTCTTGGGTTTGCACGTTTCTTAACACCTGTACCATTCTCTTTAATCATGTAATAAAATTTATAAACAGGGCAGAACATTAATTTATATGGGTTGAACGAGGATACTTCATGCTCTAAGTTATGAAGATGTGCATTTTTTAAAACCACTTACCTGTTATAGGAAACATATATAATGATTGGGATCATCTTTCACTTATTCCACTCTAATCACCTTTTCCTCTTCCTCTTTGACTTTCCATTCTACACACAAAATCCCTCCCTTGTTGCTAATTCCAAATTCAGCTGCAAAATGTTAATGAAAAACAATTAATTTTATAGCAGAGATTAGTCATAATTAAAATTCTTCTTAACCATTGACAGCTATTTCTTTCAAGAAATAAATTATTAATTTCTATAAATAAGGTTGGAAAAAGAAAAATCCTTGCGCTGTAATAAATATAAAAGAAAATTCTTAAATGACTTAATTTTTATTTTAAACTAACTCAGTGTGTGGGAGCACTTTTTTAGCATTTCATTTAAAATATTTTGAATGTAACTCTCTTATTAATAATGGCCATTAAATTTAATTTCAAAATTATATTCAAAGAGCATTTAAGTGAGTTAATTAATTAATTAATTAATTAAAGGTGGATTGCTTCTACAATTTCTTTTAAAAAAGTTTGATAAAATAAAATAATTTATAAATTAAAAACAACTCTTATTGACCTAAACCCTGAACGCATTTACTTCTCTCCGTTCAATAAAATAAATTCTATTTCTCCAACCCCATCCATTTTCATTCGCATTCGTTCTTCAACATTCAATTCCTCAACGTGCCTCTCACGTGACCACTTTCATCAAACACTCACCAATACACAACAACCATTAACACCTCCATTTTCATGCACGAACACAAACACACACTCACACTCACACACACTCTTTCGATCGCTCTTAAGACTAAAACCAAACAAATCAAATGGCTTCTCCGCCACCGTTAACGCTAAACTTCGTCGGATCAGATACGGACAGCACCTTCCCAACCGTCGTTTCAAGTTCCCTATCGCCGCCGTCGCCACGCCATTCGTCTCCCTTACAGAGCCTCAGTCCCAGCATTCTTATTATCGTTATCGTCCTCGCCGTCACCGTTATCGTCTCTCTCGCTCTCTGCTTCCTCCTCCGTCACCTCAACCGCCGCTGCCTCAACCGCTTCTCCTCCTCCGCCGCCGCACCTTCGGCCTCCGCCACGCCGATATTCTCCTCCAGCCGCCGTATCTCGCCAGAGATTGTCCACTCCTCCTCCTCCTCCGCCGCCTCCGTCATCGACACGCTCCCGCTCTTCACGTTCTCCTCTGTCACGCGCCGCTCCGCCTCTGCCGCCGCTGACTGCGCCGTCTGCCTCTCCAAGTTCCATAACCACGACCTCCTCCGCCTCCTTCCTCTCTGCTGCCACGCCTTCCACGCCGAGTGCATCGACACTTGGCTCCAGTCCAACCTCTCGTGTCCGCTCTGCCGCTCTCCCATCGCCGCCGCGGAATCCGAACTCGCCAAAATCCTCCGTCCGCCGTCCTCCGCCGCTGGCAGTAGCGACAGCTTCCGCCTCGAGTTAGGAAACATCAGCCGCCGTGGCGCCGAAGGCGCCGCCACCGCTCGCGGCGATACACGTTCGCGATCCTATTCCATTGGTTCGTTCGAGTATCTAGTGGACGACGAGTCGGAGGTCGCGTTCAGCCACGCGCGCCAGAGAAGCGAAGACGACGTGAAGGAGTTTCCCACAGCGGAGGCTCAGACTCAGGCCACTAATAACGAGGCTCAGACTCTGGCCGGCGAGGTCGCCGGCGTCAGGAGCTGGCTTAAGGACTACATGGACAGGTTTTCCGCTTCTATTTCGTCGAGAACGGCGTCTTTTCGAAGCTCTGGAAGGTTCTTCAGTGGCGGCGGGAGTAGTCGCCGAAGCGATGTCGTTCCGGTAGCTGCAGAATACGACTTGGACGGAAATCGAATTGGCGAAGAGATCAGCGAAATGTTTCGGTGGCTTTCAGGGGTATGATTGGTAAATAAGATGAACAGTTAGGAGATACTATATATTTTTTATTTTGATTAATTTTTTCTTAAAATCATTCCAAATATTCCTTGCTCGTTTCGTTTCCATTTCAATATTCTCCTCTTTAATTTGTTTTGGGCATTACAATAAAGTTAATGTAACTATATATGCATGAATCTTGTAGATAGTATGAGCCATGAAAATTTGATCATAGAGTTATTTTAACAAAATATATTCACTGACATGTGATGATCATATTATGAGATGATAAGTTGCAAATGATTTTTAAACTACATTTTATATTTAGAAAGAGTATCATTATGCATCAATGTAGCTAATTAGAATTATTTGTTCATTCATGATTTGGTTTTTGAGTAGAGAAATATATTCTATGATTATTATGAGGTAAAAATATGCAAATGATTTTTGAAATTCTGTGATATTTTATTTAGAGGGCAACCATTAATCATCAATGTGGATAATTTGTATATTTTCCATTTAAAACGTGGTTTTCTTTTTGGTAGAGGTTAATAATATAATTAATTGGAATAAACTGTAACGGTTATTCTTTAACAGTCAAAGCCATGCATTGTTTTAAAAGTTTAATTTAATTAAGAGTGATTATAGGTGGATTTTTGTTGTTGTGGCAATTTGATTTTCAGTAATAAGTGAACAGGCAAATAAAATTATTACAGTTTTCTGTATTTGGTTAAATTTGGATCATATTTAAGAGTGTGTATATATATATATATATATATATATATATATATATATATATATATATATATATATATATATATATATATATATATATATATATATATATATATATATATATATATATATATATATATAATCTTACTCATGCTTGTAAAGATATATATTACTTGTAAAGACGGCCTACAACAATACTTGCATCGGAAGATATTTCTTTCATCCTAAAAAAAGGTAGTTAAGAAGATTGAAAAAAAAAGTATATATCAAAATAAAATTTCCAATAAAAATCTATCAATCTAAAAAAATAATATAAAACAAATTATTTGTATGAATACGTTTGTATATACATTATTTACCGTCCTAATTGAAAAAGTATTTTTTTTTCAATGGAATACATAAAAATAATTTTACCTATAATATTTTAATGTATTCTTATATATTTTTTTATAGTTTTTACCGAATGTCCTAAAGAAACTAGTTAGTAAAATCTTTATTTTTCTAAAAAATGGTTGGTTCAAGAAATACTTAATTTGATTTCCTAAAATAAGCTTTCCGAGTTGAATTTTGTAAATGAAAAAAGAAAAAATCCTACTATTTTGAAATTTTGATTATCCATAAAATCGGTGGATATTGCAGAAAAAAAAATGCGTGCAGTAATAAATTGCGGGTAGGAGGAGTATGTGCAATGTCAAAAAGGGAATGAGAATCTGATATGCAAGTCTCGTTTGTTCAGGTAAAGTTGTATTTGTGTTTTGGATTTAGCTAGGAATGTGCCTTATAGATGTCATATTTGTGAGAATTTGTTGGAAGAACGGTACTCTCCTCTTTATTACTATTACCTAATTCTAGTGATGTCAGTAAAAATCTTCGGGTTTGAAACACAAAAGAAAAGACATGCTTTGTTGGGTGACTTAAGAAGACCCAAATAAATAAGAGTAAAGTTTTGATGAGGGTGAGTGAATGAATTGTAGGTCATTTATTGTTGATTACCAACCATTTTAATGGAAAAAGGCCCTACTTCTGCCTCAGATTTAAAGCCCTTGAGCTACGTATATTAATGTTGATAAATGAGAGGGAAACAAGGTATTTATGGTCACACATATAACATGATGATGATGAGACGATGATGATGTTAGATTTAGCATATGGAGCACATAGATTCCTCACCTGTTTTTTTCCTTTAAAATAATTTTTTTCTCATAAAAATAGTATGCTATTTGCTCTTTCATTAATATAAAAAAAAAATAGTTTTTGACTTATAAAGTAAGTTCTTCAACAATAATTAATTATTAACAAAATTAGTGAACAATTAGCATTGAAGGAAAAACAAAGCACAAAAGCTTTTATTTTATAGAGAAAAATGTAGTTATAAATAGTTCTATGTAACACAAACCAAATTCAACTCTTGCTTAACACTGATCCAAACAACATCTTTATTACCATTTACAAGCAATTTTTTTTTTCTTTTTCGTTTTCCAAATGGATAGACACATGAAAGACTAGTATTAAATTTTTTATTAGATTTGATGTTCCAAACCAGTTTGTGAAACTCATACTTGTGTTCTTTTTCTTTCTTTTTGGATTGTCTAGGAATCTGTGATTGCTTCAAGAAACGGCAAACGAAGCTTATATCCCAAATGCAACACAATTAAGTTTAAAAAAGATGAACTCTGAATCTGATCCATCAAAGTGGTACCAAGATTTGCTTTCCCTCGTTCACTCAACAACTCTCCTTTTTGGTTGAAATTAAATCAATACCCATAAAAAAGATAAGATCCAAAATTATCCACATGTAGATTAATAATGCAAAGTCTCAATAAACAATGTTTCATTCATATAATAATAATAATAATAATAATAATAATAATAATAATAATAATAATAATAATAATAATAATAATAATAATAAAAAAAAAAAATTAATAAATCGGTTTCTCTTTGATGAGTACCACAAGGAACATATGATCTATTTTTGTTTTTTTTTTCATTGATCACTTTATTTAAATACAAAAAATCATATAACAATAATATTTATATATTCGTTTAAGAATAATAATATTAAAATATATTATTATGGATATTTTTTTTAATAAAATTTCAATTGGATGAGACTATATATATATATATATATATATATATATATATATATATATATAAATTATTTTTATTTTAATTTTTAAATAATGTGAAACTCATACTTAAAAAAATATTAATAATAACTTATTCGGTTCGTGAAAAAAGCTTTTTATATATAGAAACCATGAATTCTTAAAAATGATTGTATTAAATGTTTGTTTGATTAGTGATAACTTATTTTTTTTTTAAACTTATGTAAATATCTTGGTAATTAAATTGTAACATGGTATTTTATCAGAAAAATGAATTATTTATTGCTTTAAATAATTTAATAACATGTGAGAATATATTCACACTTTATTTTTTGTAGGAAAATTACTAATGTAATAGGAATTTCAAAACCTAGTTGGATTTGTGATAGTCACAATAATGCGAATAAAATTAAGCTCTACTTCAAGTGAATTGAGAAAAATCCATAAAATAAAATTAAAAGAGTACATTATATTTTTATATAATAAATAAACGTCTTAATTTAGAAAAATTAGATTATGATATCTCATCATTAAGAATAATTTTGTCAAAATATAGATAAAAGTCAAACACAAAATTTAAATGTAATTTGACTAATTCTATTTTAATTTTAAAAAAATTAAACCAAATCAATATTTTATAATTTTGTTTAAATAATTTTTACGATTTTTTATCATAAAATTATCAAATATATTATAACAAAATAATTATTAAATAAAAAATATATTATAAAAACACCATTCACAATTAATTATGATACTCATAATTTTAATTTATTTTCATATATTGCCATGTTTAATTTAACTAATAACAATAGATATTTTAAATTATAAAAAGCACTTGCAATAAATATCATTTTACAATTTAATTTCAGTAATATATATTATAATATTAATTCACTTGGGATTAATTCTTAACTATTAAATTAAATCCATCGGTTTTAAAAATTTCAATTAAAAAAATAAGTTTTAATCTATTTGAGTAGAAGAGACAGAGTAAGAACACACGTAGCATGTAAAGATGAATATGGTTGACTTGGGACATAACGAGAATCCAATACTATGTTGTATGTGATGTGTGTGTTTATATTCTTATCTTTGGTTGGGGTGCACAACCAACCCTAAAGTTTTCATGCTTCACACCTTTTACACCTGTTTTCGATCCATTCACTACGTTTTCTGCTTTCTTTCTCAAATATTTTATTTATCATTTCTCTCTGTGATGAGTATGAACATGTGTTCATGGCAATGGAAATCATGCAAAACCTAAATAAAACTGCATGACATAAATTTCCCACGCTTCAAATAACTTAAAGATCAAATGAATTATCCTGCTTCCACCTATCTCACTAACCGTGATATATTTTAACCTAAATAATATATAAATATAAAGGGATAAAAATATAAAAAAATAAAATTATAAATATAATAAATAATTATTAAGTTGTGAGAACCAAAATCATAAATACTTTTACGTATAAAAGTTTACTTGGACATTTTGAAACACAACATATTTATTTTTTATTTTGAAAATTAATGTGTACACTAATTTCTTAATAATTTATACCTAATGTAAATATAATATAATATAAATTGATTGTTTTCATACATATATTTTTTTAATTATTTTTAAAATTAAAAAATAATCTTTGAGAATTAATCTTTGAAACTGATTTAAAAAACTAAAAGCCAAAACTTAATCAAAACAGCCCTAGCTTTCCACCATGCAGGTGACCTAATTTATTTCTCAGTTGATACAAGGTAAGAATATGATTCTTTTCCATTCTATCAACTTTTGTTAAAATAAATTCATAAGCTTTTAAAATATGCAATTGGTAATGGATATTTCAGTCCACTGCCATAAAAAAAATTAAAATTTAAGTTAAAAGTTTATTCTATACATTTTTTTAAGTTCAATTTGTCATTGTTTTATTAATTTATTTTGTTAATTGAATTTTTATAATGTTAATTGAAATTAATATTAAAATAAAACTCAAACTAATTTACTAATATATTATATATGTATCCTTTGATTACATTTTTTTATTTAAATTAATGTTATAAAATAATAATCTTTGTTCTTTGTTTTTATTATTTTTCGTACCATTCGATTCATAGGTTAGGTAGACCAAGTTTTTCAACTATTTTCATTGATGATTTAGTTTGTGTTAATTTGGTTTATATATATAAAGAAGCTTAAGATGTGTATATTGTGAAGTTGGTTTGGTAATGTCTTCCTCCAACCCCATTGCCACCAATTAATTCTTCTCAACCACTCGCCGACATACTTCAATTCTGTCACCACCAAACTCATGCAATTCATCGCCATTTTTTTTTTTTTATTATGACATCGAGTCATTTTTTTAAGTTATTAAATACCACTTTAAACATGGTTTTCTTCATAAAGTTCAAAAGCGTAGCCTTTTTATGTTATAAAAAAAATAGCCTTTTTACAAATCTCAATATTATGTATTGAAAAATATTTGGATGATGCATTCGAATAATAATATAAATAAATAAAATGGGATAGAAAAACCGAAATTGTATCAGCAAATTTTAGGTACATAGTTTCGGAAAAGATCAAATATCTTTCGGAATATTAGTAAAAGACATTTCAAAATGTATATTCTTAGATTATTTGGAATAATAATATATTAAAAACTTATAACTCACAATGATATTTTCAGGGGAATGTTTACAAAGGGAAGGGTAAAATTAATTTTTAAAAAAATTTGGAGTTTCATGAAAAACAAAAAAAAAATGAGATACAACAAGAAAAAACCCTTAAGCATTGGGCTTCGTATTTTGCAAGTCCAAACATAATAGAATTAAGAGCAAGGTCTTGCTTCCCGCACCCCCCATAATGTTTTCTTGTATCCCGTACCCCAAGTCAAATATCTAATGTACCTTTTTTATAAATTTGCATCCTTTAGTATTTTCATCCTTTGACTATTTGATTTTTTTTACTATCACTTCCTATTGTCTTTTCTAACAATTAAAGATAAGTAATTGTTAATATTATATATGAATTTCATGTTCATATACTCAAATTACATAAAATAGACCTAAATTGTTTAATATAAAACAATGTCACAAAAATAAGATTGAATTCCAACAAAATCAATCAGAAAATGCATTCCAAATTAAGTGTTCTAAAATGTGTTTATGGAAAGGTCAATACAAAAATGCATTATGGATTAACTATTCTAGAATGTGTTTCTAAAAAAGTTAATCCGAAAATGTATTATGGAATATCAAATCCGGAATACATTTCTGGATTATCCTTTCCAAAACACCTAATCCATAATACATTTCTAGATTGGTTTTTTTAGAAACGTATCCTGAAATTCTAAAAACGCATTTCAAATTGGATATTCTATGATGTGTTTTAAGAAAGGTTAATCCGAAATACATTTCAAATATGAAGATAAATATAAAGATAAAATGAAATTTAATATAATTAAGAAAAAAATTATAAGGTGAAAGAAGCAACAAACTAAGATGAACTCTCGTGTAAATCCACACGTATTTATCCCATGTGTTATTTGATTTATTTAAATGGGTGAATTAAATATTAATATTAAAAAAATATAAATAATTGGTGTCTTCAAAGTATATATACAAGAAAAAAAGAAAAAAAAACTTGAAAGGAAGAGTTAATTACAAAATTGAAAAGTTTACTTGTCATTGATATGTTTGCTTTTAAAACTTTGATATATAGTATATTAGTTTATTAATACAATTTGTCTTTGAAAAAGTTGGTGCCTAATACATTCATGAATAAATACGAGACATATTGTAAATGATGTTACAGACCACTAAATATTGAAAAATAAATTAATGTTTCTTTCTGATAAAGTTTTAATTTTGAATATATGTTCAAAAATAAAATTCTGCTTAAGGTATATAAACTAAGAGTTTAAATTTAAAAAATCCAACTAATTTATCCAAATAAAATATTTAAAAATGAAATAAATTAATTGAAAACAATGTAATACTATTCCATTTCAAACTCCAGAAACTTTGAAATTCTTCGTCTTAACACTTGATAAATGGTACTTTCTTACCTGAATAGTTAAGGAGTTTCACTTGGAATACATACAAAAAAAAAGAAAATTGATTTGCGTTTCATAAAACTTGGACTGATCAGCCTGTAAGAGCAGAGTTGAGAGCGCTATGGACGTCAACACCAATCTGAGCTTCAGCTTTCTCCAAATCAGTGGAGGCTGAGTTGAGCTTCTGAGTGAAATCTTGAAGGCCCTTCTGGACAAGATTGACATCAATTCGATCTACTGGCACAGCCTCAACAGCTACTATATCAGCCACTGAGTTTCCATGGATGAATGCGAACCCACTGCTCACAAAATACTTTGTCACATCGTTCCCTTCATGTACGGAGAGCACACCAGGTTTCAACTCAGCAATTGTTGCCACATGTCCTGGCAGAACACCCATCTGCCCAGTTGTTGCTGGTACAATCACCATGTCAACCTATTCCACAAAAATTATCTCATTTGAAAAGTTTCCGATTCTAACAGCTATCAATTTCTTTTCTGGTATGGTATAGTGTGGCAATGCAATAATTCATGAAATATCCACTCCAATCGATGTGAACATGCTTTAATACCAAAAGAATTTGCATATGCCTAAAGGTTCTCTCAACCAATGACATTAATTCACCCATAATCTGCCTGAAACCAGCAAAATTGCACTTGGTTGAGAGTGGAAAATTAAAACTAACAACAATAATTCTGATTTATCCGTTTATTTGTGGTGCAAGCCAACCTTCCTCTCCATGTAAGAAGTAAAGGTAGAAATCTTATACCACTTAAAGATATGACAAATGTAAGAAGTTATGTTAAAAATATTATACCATTTAAAGATATGACCAAATAATGGTTTTATAAAAGTTAGTTATATGATCTTGAGTGGACTTTTAGTCGAGGGATAGTGCCGTTATGTCCTAGGATGTTCATATCGTTTGGATAAGAAGGGGTCTCTGTTCGAAATCATATCAGAGCCTGACCATTTTTCAGAAGGGGGTATGATAGTAGGAATTATAAGTGGAAAGTGAGTAAGAGAAACCTTTAAATATGGATAACCAAACACCATTATCAGAGTCCAGTTTCGTTGGTCCCGTTTTGTTAAACTCAACTCTTTCTCTTCCCAAAAATATTTCAAAACTCTTTCTTCAAAAATAGAAAATCTCATAGAATATTCTTATATCCCAGAAGATGCTCAGATCTCTAAGACGTATAGTCCTCTCCTTAGTCCTTATAATATTTTTAGGAGACAAAGATCTACCCTTAGATCTATCACTCGTCTTCTTTCCATCAGAAGACCTCATGTTAAGGAGTACATCCAATCCTCCAGGATGGACCAGTGTGCCTTAGCATCCACTACAGAAAGAACAATATGTCAACATTGAGATCCCCAGAGATCTCATTAGGCATTGGCAAACTGAGGGTTACACTCATCTCCATTATGGAGTAATCCGACTTGTCCTCTCTCTCCACGGAAGACGGAGATTACCTATCTCAACCAGAGTCTCTCTTCTAGACTCCAGCTACCTTCATTATGAGCATGTCGTTATCGGTACTGTTCTAACTACTCTTCATGCTGGAAGTGTAGTTCTCTCACCATTTTTCTTAACTTCAACTTTAGCTTGAAGGATCCCACAATCTCCCAGAGATTAAAGGTTCAGATCCAGATCACTGGAGCTGAACAAGTGGCTGATGCACTATCGGCTACTCTTCATCATCAGATCATATACAGGTTGCAAGATCATGCGATAAATCTTGTTTTATCATCCTGTAAAGAAGGAACACTATTCGTCTTGGCCAATAACCAAGATGAAACACCTTCCATAGTTCAAATCCCTAGAAACATCTCTTCACAAGAGTTTCACAAGCTTATTCTGATGCAGTGAGTGACTAACTATGAGAAGTTCCACAATAACCAAAAACTCATCCAGTTTACAGAAGCAACATTTAGAAGATCTGTAGATGGTACTATCAGAACCATCTTCAAGAATCCAGAAGATGTTCCAAGTTCTAGCACTTCCATATTCCAGTCAATGATGATAACGCCTGCTACCAAGGAAGGCAAAATCCCAATCATCAATGTGTGCCCTGATGACAAACCTATCTTTACTGACAAGATAGGGGGACACTTCATCTGGGATGCTAACCCAGACATGTACGATTCTGACTGTGATTGTTGTGACTACTATGGAGACACTAGTGATGAGGATGATGATGACTCAGATAGTGATGATGATGATGACTTCAAAGGAGGATCTTGCAAACCTCTGCTCTCTCCCTCCAGGAGATTTGAACCTGGAAAAGGCCCATGGATAGGAATTCACCGCCAGGAGAAGTCAGATCTCTTGTGGGAATATCGACAATACACTGAAATCCTTGAAGAAGAAGGCCTACTATTCTCTAAACCAGAAAGGTGCAGAACCTCTGCCATGCCACCTGAGCCTTTAGTTCCTCCCATTCCATGCATGATGATGAACCCTTCAGCCTACAAGGAAGCATTTCCTCCACTAGAAAGGAACGTTGATCTTGTGTCCAAGACAACAACCAAACCACATGTTGTTTGTCAAGAAATTGGACCAGATGGGAAGACTAAACCATTAAGCCAAGCCGAAGAAGTCCTAAATTGACAGACAGAGAATGATCAAGCTCAGAATTCTATCTTGCAGAAAATTGATAAGAAGATAGACAAGATCTCCACACATCTTGGGGAAACCGATGACAGGCTCCAACACCTTAATTCTACTTTGAGGAAGCAGTACAAACAACTTTTCTCAGAAATCTCAAAGTTAGAAGAAGACTGGAAGAACACCGTCTTCGGAGAGCTATCTCATGCCAAAGAAAGGGAGATCAGAAGGCTCAAAGCCTAGATCCAAGAGATGAATAATTATATTGAAGAAAAAATAAGACAACAAAAGCCAGAAAAAGACTATTAATACATGGCAATTAAACCCGTCTCCGTGGGGACCGACCCGTCCCCGCCCCGAGTTTGACGGGGAAAACCCGAGTTGACCGGGGACGGGGGCGGGTTCGGGTTTTCCCCGCTTTAAAAAGTCGGGGGCGGGGCGGGGATGGGTAATGCAATCCCCACCCCGACCCCGTCCCCATCCCCGCCCGACTTTATATTTAAATTTAAATTTTAAAATACTAATATTCTAAAAGTATTTCATTTTCTTTTTTACATATAAGGTCATTTTTTTATATTTCACCAAATTTTTTTCTTCTACCCACTTTTAAATTTTTCTATCTTTTTTAATCTTTTATATTAATTAATTTATTACATTATTCTTTCTCTTACCTTTCGAGTTTTTCACATCTCCTTAATCTTTCCCATCAATTTGTTTTTTTTTCAATCTTTTCAACCAATTTGATGAACACAAAGTTAATTTTTTTATTCTTTATCTTTTTCTAAATATTTTACATAAAGTAGTAACTAATATTATTTTATTTATAATTTATATTTATTAGGTTTTATTATGTCATATTTTTTTTATCTTATTATTCTTATTTATCATATATCAAATTTTATCTTAATAAAATAATTATATTTTAAAGGATTAAAGGAATTGATAATTTAAATTTTTATTACTTCGAACTAATTGAATAAGAATTAACTTATTAAATATTTTCTTATAAACAATATATTTCATATTTTTAAATGACAACTTAAAAATGAATTAATTTATATATATAATCAAATGTTTGAATACAGTATTATAATAATAGTGTTATAAATATTCAAATATTTGAATATAGTGTTATAATAATAATAATAATATTATAAATAAAAAATAATTAAATATTTCTTTTACATACACATTTTAATATAAATATAATAAATTAAAATGTATATTTAATTAATAATAATTATAAATTATAAATATTTATTTATATATAAAAAATAGATAGTAAAATTAATTTATTATAAATGTAATTATCTTTTTAAAAATAATATAAATCGGGGACGAGGTGGGGGCGGGAACCCGAAACCCAGCGGGGACGGGGATGAGAACTTAATTTCTAACCCCGTGGGGATCGGGGCGGGGACGGGGATGGTTAAAAAAGTTGGGGGCGGGGATCGGGAGGCAAAACCCGCCCCGCCCCGCCCGTTGTCATGCCTAACTATTATTCACCCCTATTCTCTTCAACTTCAGCCTACCCCTCTTACCAGAACCCATCTTCATATTTTCGACTAGCATCACAGACCCATCTTCATATTTTCGACCAGCATCACAGACCACATGGTCCCTACCAACAGCAACGACTTACAGGTCTAGGTTCAAACCAGCAACACCCAAACCAGACAAAGGAAAGAAGGTTGTCCAACCTTCTTCAAAATCTTCTTTTGAAGAACAACCTTCACCTAAAAGGCCAACTCAGCAAAAACCATTTGACCCAGTTTTTCAAGATTCTCAAGACACATACTCACAGATGACTATAGTACCTTTTTCTTCTCCAACTCCAAATACTCCTACAATGCTTGAAGAATATTCCTCTGAAGAATCAGAAATTGAGGTTCGTGCTTCTGAGGAATCTGAAACTAAAGTTCTTACTTCTGAAGAATCTGAAACAGAAGTTCCCAGCTATGAGGATCTTACACAGATATTGATGACCAACAACTCCAGATCAAAAGTCAGACATGAATAATTCTATGACCCTCCAGACGAAGAAGCTGATTCTGAACCCACAAGAACAAATGTGTCTTCAAAGACAAATGGTGGACCCTGGTTCACTATTGATGATATTCCTCCCAGCCAATGGAGAGTCAGACTAATAGAATTTGGAGCATGGTTAGATACCAAATTTGTCAACAATTCTGACTCTTATAAAGTTATTAAAGAATTCTGTTGCAGAATGACAGGAACTTAAAAGGGATGGTATCATAATTTGGGAGTTGTTCGACAAAACCAGTTCCATGAACTAGGCCAAACTTCAGCAGTACTTGGGGGGGCTTTACATGAAGAATTCATAGGTGATGGATCGATCATAGATAAAAAAACTCAGGCAAGAGTTTTTTTAAATGAGATGCTGCTCAATCAAGATCAAAGACTTGGAGAAACACTACTACAGGATGAGCAAGAGATTCTACCATCTCAACGGACTCAACGATCCAAGCTTGAAGAACACCTATGTTGCATCTCTTCCTGCTGAGATACAACCAGAGCTGAACAGGATGACCATGTCCATTCAGAAAGACTTTACTATTCTAACAATGGGACAAATTCACCAGATGACTTTAGAAGTTGTTGATAAACCGTGCAGACAACATGAGTTCTTCTCTGACATCATGACTCAGAAAAGCAAGTTTAGCAAAGCCTATCAGAAACCTTATCTTGAGATTAAATGCAAGAAGCCCTGTTTAGGCAACTGCAAAATGAAGAAAAAGCGAGAAAATCCATTTTTCCGCAAAAAGAAGAAAAAGAATTTTAAATTCTTTAAGAAAAAGAAGTTCATAGGAAAAGCACAAGATCAACTGTGCTTTATTTGTAAGAAGAAGGGACATTTTTCTAAGAATTGCCCTCACAAAGCTGATAGAGCCATCAAACTCATCTCCACCCTCCAACTTGATGACAATGATGACATAGAGTCTCTCTATTCTGAA